GGGGGGGGGGGGGGGGGGGGGGGGGGGGGGTGGGGGCACAGGAAGACAGCGGGCTGGGCATCGGGGAGGGCGAGTTCGGGTTTCTGTTGAGAGAAGGGGGAGATCAGAAGCCCAGCTCTGGACAAGACAGGCTTGAGATGTCGGTGGGACGGCAGCTTGCTGGCACAGAGGCCCATCTGTTAAACGTCTGAGTTTGGGGCCTCCTGAGAGTCACTAGCAACCCAGGACACCTCAATGCAACCACTCTGCTCTGAATGACTTACTCTGTCCTCTGTAACTAGACAGCAAACTTCCAGGACCAGCACCATGAATTCTACCTCTATGTGCATAAGGCTGATTGGTATACCTGAGAAATGACACAAAATGCCCATTTTACAGGAGATCTGAGTAACAACAGAAACTTCTGTAAGACCATAAATCATCATCAATCCTGTCAATTCAACTCAAATATTGAACATGGTGCTTTATTAAGACAGTAAAGAAACGCAAGGAAAATACTGCTCTCTAAAAATGCATAGTTTCGAGTGGGTGCCAAGCCTGAGATTCCATGGGCTGCATGTCTACAAAGGGGTGTACGTGAGCAGACCAGGTGGCTCTGCCATCAGTCCATGGACTAGGCCCGGTGACTAGTGGCCCGAGGCTGCAGAGGCCTGGGGGGTGCCGAGCTGTCAGAGCGGCTTGGTCGCAGAGACCTTATGCTGGAGAAGATGATGCCAGTCCACAGCACGCAAGACCAGAACTGAGCAGAGGGTTTTCTAAAAGCCTTTAAAAGGGGGCAGATGCGAACACATCTCGGTAACTGCTCACGACACAATTATTACCTTCCTTAAAACACAAGCAGAGTTTAGGGGGGCAGAGCAGTTCTTCAATGTTGAATGAAAATGCCACCCCGGTGTCCACGAGGCCGAGGTGAGGGGCAGGTGATGAGGCTGTGAGTTAGTAACAGCTAGCAGACACTCAAAAGATCTTAACAAGTGAGTCTAGAGAAGGACTGCTCTGGGATGAATTAAGAGAAAACAGATTTAAAGCATGGTTTTTAAGACTAGGATAATAATGATGCGAGCGTGCGCAGATGATCAGCGATGCTCAAATTATAAAAATGAACCTGACAACCGGGCCTAAGAAAAAACAAAAAGTGTGTGCTGGGAGCCTTCAGGTACGCCTCGTGCCCATGACTCTGAGAATGAGGGCTGCCCTGCCGTCCCGTGCGCCGCCCCTGCACCCGGCCCAGTCCCCCTCTGCTCGCTTCTCCTCGTCGTCCTCCTTCCCCGCTCAGCTCCACCTGGGGTCCCTGCACTGGAGCTCCGCCCTGTCTGGCACACTCCTCACGGGGAGCTCAGGGACTGCCCCTCCTTGTTCACGTGTCAGCGTCTCACGGGAAGAGGGCCCTGACCTCCCCAAGCCCAGGCTTTGTTTTTCTCCGAGCACAGATTCCCCACTTGATACTCAGTGTGTTTGCTTTTGCCGGTCCCCTCGTGCCTCAGATAGAATTTAAGGTCTGTGAGAGCAGGAACCCTGACCGTTTTTGTTCATTACAATGTCCCCACCACCGAGCTGCCACTTGGGGGACGATTGACAAATAACTGCTAAAAGAATTCACTGAATCTCAAATAACGTAACCAGTGCTGGGCTCTTGCCCATGAAATCTATGCTGTTACATTTGACCAATTATTAAGAATCCCGGATAAAATGTTGTTACATCTTACAGAACACTGAAGAGTATAATCTGGAAAAAGGATTTTTAACGGAAACCTAGAGGAATGAATTGGCTATAAAATTAGATTCCCACATGAAAAACAAAAGAAACAAGCATTCACATATGATGTGTATCAGAAAGACATTCAACAAAAAAAGTGAGCGCTGATATTTTCCTGGAGGCTGGGATTCATTCAACAAATACTTAGTAAACACTATGGATATTAAAAAAATTTTTTTCTCTTGTATTTTTACAACTAAAATGAATTACTTGTAAGTGATTGAAATAAAGTCTATCAGCCCTGCTGTTAGCTGTGTGATCCCGGTAAGTCCCTGTACTCCAGGAACTTCAGAATGCTTGCTTATTAAGAATTTTAGAGATGTAAGGAAGCTCAGAGACCACTGGGTTCAAGTCCAATAATTTAGATCAAGAAGCCTCATCTCCCTTACATCTCACAGTCAGGTAGATCCAGGTCTAAGATTTAGGTCTTCTGATCAAATTTAGATCCAGGGCTCTTTCTAATGCATTTTGCCTCAAGAGCAGAGTTAAGAGAATTAAGAAGATAACAATACAGATACAGTAAAAAAAAAAAAAAAAAAAAAAAAAAAAAAAAAAAAAAAAAAAAAAAAAAAAAAGGAAAAAGAGATAATGGATAAAAATATATAATAAATGATATAGTTTTATATAAGTTTAAGGGTAAAAACTTTCAAAACTGAACTTTAAAAGACAGAATCTCTAACAACAATTATCTATTTTCCTCGAAGGAAAGACTTTTACAGTCCTCTGGTTACAAAAGTAATGATCAGTGTATCCCTAGTGCATGTGTAAAGGATATGGAAAATTGATAGATAAGGAGACACAGGGGGAAAAATTGCCATTTGCAGTTTCCATATCAGGGGGGTCACAAAAGGTCAATCATCTGTGCTATTATATCCCTGCTAAAGCCATCTCTGTTCACTGTCATTATTCTAGTTAAAAACAGTTTCTTGAACATGTATGTACTGTTATTTTAAACTGTCATTTAAAAATTACTGATCTAATAAAAAAAGACATACAACAGCAAGCGTTGGTCGGGGTGTGGAGAAATGGGCAACCTCACACATTGCTGCTAGGAACTGAAACTGGGGCAGTTTCTTTGCAAAAAAGCTTAGCAGGTCGGCAGAAAGTTAAACAGTTGCTAGATGACCCAGCAATTCCACTCCTAGACACACACACTCAAGAGAACCGAAAACTATGTTCACACAAAAACTTGTACACGAGTGTTCATAGCAGCATTGTGCATAACAGCCAAAAAGTGGTAATAACCCAAATGGCCATCAACTGATGACTGGCGAAACAAAACGTGGTCTAGCCATACAATGGGATGCTATTTGGCCATAAAAAGAAATGAAGTTCTGACACAGGCTACCACGTGGATGAACCTGACAACATTACGCGAATGGAAAGAAACCAATCATACAAGGCCACACACTGTATGATTTCACTTATATGAAATGTCCAGAACAGGCAACTCTAGAGAAAGAGAGAGCAAACTGGTGATCGGCAAGGGCTGGGGAGAGGGTGGAATGGGAAGTGACTGCTAACAGGTATGGGGCTTCTTCTGTCTTTTCTTTCTTTTAAACTTAAGTATAGTTGATTTATAATATATCAGTTTAAGGTGCACAACATAGCGATTCAAAATTTTTATAGATTATATTCCATTTAAAGTTATTATTAAAAAGGTTATCATACAATATTGACTATATTCCCTGTGCTGTACAATATACCCTTGTTGCTTATTTATTCTATACATAGTAGCTTGCACCTCTTAACCCCGTACCTATCATGCCCCTCCCCCCGTCCACTTTCCCCACTGGTAACCGCTAGTTTGTTCTCTATGTCTATGAGTCTGTTTCTGTTTTGTTACATTGGTTCATTTATTTTTTAGATTCCACATATAAGTGATAACATAACAGTATTTGTCTTTCTCTGTTTGACTCATTTCACTAAGCATAATACCCTCCAGGTCCATCCATGGTGTTGCAAATGGCAAAGTTTCATTCTTTATTATGGCTGGATAATATTCCATTGTATACATATACATACCATATCTTCTTTATCCATTCATCTGTTGATGGACACTTAGGATGCTTCCATGTCTTGGCTATTATAAATAATACTACTATGAACACTGGGGTGCGTGTATCTTTTCAAATTAGTGTTTTTGTTTTCTTTGGATACACACCTGGGAGTGGGACTGTTGGATCATATGGTAGCTCTATTTTTACTTTTTTGAAGAACCTCCATATACCGTTTTCCACAGTGGCTGCACCAATCTACATTCCTACCACCAGTGTACAAGGCTTCCCTCTTCTCCACATCCTCGCCAAGGTATGGGGTTTCTTTTGAGGTCAAGAAAACGTTCCAAAATAGACTGTGGTGATGGCCGTACAACTCTGCGAATACACTAAAGAACCACTGAATTGTGCACTTTAACAGGGTGAATTTCATAGTATGCGAACTGTATCTCAATGAGATGATTCTTAAATAAATCATTAAAAAAAATTCACTGATCTCTTTTGGAGGGCAACTTGGGGCAAATTAATGTTCTTTTCTTGAGAACGCAGGTAACTGGGAATGATGGCTAACTGCTGTTGACTTTGCATCTGTTTGTTATCTATTTGTCAACTGCACCCAAGGGAACAATCATCTGTGGAATCCATTACTGATGACAGAGGCTGGATGAAAGACTAAAACGAATAGAAGACCCAGCTCTCAGGAGCTAATTTTGCCAGTTTTTGGTTTCTGAAAATAGCAAGTGAGTCGACATGCGTGATAAGCTTTATGAAGGACAACTGCAAACACCCTGAAGAACTAAGGACCCGTGAAGACGAACAGGAGCAGCCTACACGTAAGCAGTAGCGGCTCGGCTGCTGTCTGACAGGACTCACCGGGCTCGTGTAAGCGCCTTGGTGCACGTCTCCGAACTGGCCCTCTCCGATGCACCGTCCCAGTTCTATTCTTTCTCTCTGAATCTCATAGTCCCTGGCTGCAAAACACGATCCACACACCAGAAGATACTTCAGTGCAACATCCCCAGTGTAGAAAACACTGGACACACTTCATTGCATAATCATCCATGAGTAAAAACTTCATCGGTGGCACATCATTCTATGAAAATGCTTTAAACAGAGTGGAATTCTCTTAAACAGTATTTTTAAAGGAATTTATGTAACTGTTACAGCACTGCTTGAATTACCAAAATGAGGAGTTTTATACAGGTAGATTTTTTTCATAGTTTTGAATGTCTGATTTAGCTGATTATCTATTTGATGGTTTTCTAAATAATTGCTCCAAGTTTATGTATGTTTAATTAATATGAGCTATTAGTTCAGGTATTAATATATGAAGGCTAAAAAACAGTTATTTAATAAAGCAATTATTTTACAAGTTACTAAAGTCTGTAAATATGGAGGGAACAAAAAATTGTCTCATGAGTAGCTTTATAAGTTTAAGAGTTTTCCACTTTATTATAATCCTATCTATATTATTCACGGAGCTAAAAGAGTTTAAAGAGGGAGCTTCTAAAACGTGATTTCAAAATCAGATGACTTGGAATCAAGGTTGAACGTATCACATAATAAATTACAAGTATTCTATATTTTTGAGAGCATGTGCCTCAAATTAATGTATTAAATTGTTATGATTTATACAAAACCAATTATTTAGCAGGCTGTTGAGACACATGGAAAGAAAATACCCACTAGGAACCTAGTGGATGATTCTAATCCAATTAACTACTTGGTATTTTGATTTCTTTTAATTTGTCAAATTATAAATCATACAGAAAACTCAACCCAAATTTTAGGTGGTTATTTTCCTCTTTAAAATCACTTTAGCTAGCAGTTCCATTGATTTAACAGCATGAGTAAACCAATGAAAAAATTTTAAAATAAAAGTTAACTGAAAACTGAAACATCCCGTTATCATTCCATCGGTTGCAATTGCAAGCAAATGCAGTTATTTTAAAGGAATCCTGTTACCTTCATCTATTCCATAGCTTTCTGTATTGCAATTAAGAGAGAAAAAAATTGAAGACCTTGCTTAGAAATAACTAATAGCAATTAGGTTAACAACAACAAACTCGGGAGAGTACGTTTCAATATTAACTTTCTTAAATATTTTGACTATCAACACGAGTCAAAAAAGAGGACCAAACACAAGTAACAACGCAAGTAATATCCTCAAGTTAACTCAGTGTGATATACAATGCTTTACATTTCTATCCCATAAATTCCTATATGATAACCGTATTTGTGCGGTTTGGATAAAAGTTAGCCATGTCGGTTGGACATTTACCACTCAACTATGAAAATATACGAATAAAAATCTGGATACTCTGCAGGAAGGTACAAAATGGCTAAATGGCTAACCAAACCTTTAAACCTAAATTTAAACATTTTTCCAAATTGCTACTGCAAGTCAAAGTAAACACATTTAAGTTTCAGCTCCTGCCTCTGTTTCAAATCACTAACCTGGGAGCTCTTGAAAGAAGGGGTCTGTTTCTCTTTATTTTGGTAACTCTCCTCAATGTATATGGTAAATCTATTGAGAACAACTTTTAAAATATTTACACAACAGGGTAAAGCACCTGAAACATTTATTTTCCAAATACATGAAGCTCTACTGAAACCAGGACATCAGATGTTGAATTATCAGGCCTCTGAGGCTGTAAGGTGGACTCCTAATTGGGCCTCTTTAAGAGGTAGGGTTAACTTTTTTTTTTTTAACCTCAGTGAAATTCCAAGGTTGTCTCCAACTCAAGAGCTGTGCCTATATACACCCCACCACAAGGGCTGGGGCTCCCAGACCCTCCCAGACTCTCATCACCAGCAAGCTGCACAGCAGAGAGAAGCAGAGGGTGACACTGCTAGGCTGCTGAGGTGGGTGGGGGTCAGTGAAGAGTCCTTCTCTCCCCACACCTCCAACCTGGAGCTGGACGGACTGGATGCGGGCTGCTCTTTGTAATTGCTTAGTCAAGGGCAATAAAAAAATGAAAGTTCAAAGGGGAAATGCAATTCCTTCAATATGTGTATTCAAAGAGCTGTATATATGTGTGAGTATACACATTTAACTTTAAATACTAATTTCCTACAGAGAGGGAATGCTCTCATCATTAAAGGTTATATTATCATGGAACCAGAAAACAAGATTCCAAAAACCCCATAAGTGAATTGACTTATTATAGATATTTGAGTTTCAGGCTTCTGACCTGGCAGTGGGCACATACAATACAGAATTCTAAAGGCTGAAAAGAAGATTTCTGTTATGAACTCAATAAGGTCTTAAAAGTAGTTCTAAAAGGACAATAAATACCTAAACCGTTTAAACACGAGATATTTAAAAGTTAAATATCTGTCAGCTCTGCACCAGAACAAAACCAGAAGTCCACTCACTCGAGGGCATGGTGTAGGTATCTTCTTCGTCGATAATCTCAGCATAGTCGTCTGTTTCTGTAGGAAAGGAAACAGAGGTTACATATTCACCCCCCTGGCCTTTAATATAACTTGAAAAGGCAAAATGATCTGCCTAAACCCCCTACCATGCTGACATTATTCTTAAAACACTATTACTCAATTTTTGCTCACACATGGGTCATTTATGGAAATAAAAGTGACATCATGGTCCAACATGTCATAATACACAGACCTGTTCCTCAGAGAGCAAAGAAACTAACAGAGAAAAAAGCCCTTGTGGAAAACAGAAAGACATGAAACAACTGTTTTGCACGATTCAAACCCACCAAGCGGTACTGACTGCAAAGCTCTCCCTCAACTACACCAAATACACGTTTAAAACCACACCGCTGTCTACCGGGATTTCTCCAAACAAGACCGGTACCTCCAGAACACAGCTTAGATTTCACTCATAGTTAGACTCCACAGCATAGTCTGGATGTTCTCCTTTAGGAAACAAAACGGCAGGCTGACTTTTGAGGAGATTAACTGGGCTCACTTACTTCATTTGTTCAGAGTGAAAGCAACCCAGGAATTTCTCTCCTGTAACTTTTCACTCAGATATTTAAACAGTATGCATTAACGTCAAAAGGGTAAAAGATGTGCCGAAGAGAATAAAATCAGAACAAACAGCATAACGAAACGAGTTCTTTTCAGACGTAATGTCAAGGAGTTCCAATGTTTCCACTAATTCCTTTCAGTAATGCACCAACTTAAAGGCCCACCACTGTATTAGTGGGGGGAAAACCCCTCTTGTAGAGAACACCCACTCACTTGGGTAACAATTACACTGAAAACTCCCTCAGGTCTTGCTTGTCTTCTCTTTCTGGAAAGAGGGAAACCTTTAGTAGCTCTGCGCACAAGGCTTTAGGCTGACGGGACAGGAAAGGGGGGGAGGGGCAGTGCTTCCTGAATCATCATCTGAAGAGAGGTCGTTTTCACAACTGAACCCCAGAGAAACTAAAAGCTAAAGAACTGAAAGTTCTTTCTTCTGTGCTGCCATTATTACTCCATTCATATATTAAAATTAGAGAAACCAAAGAAAATAGAGACTACATGTAGTTTACGGTCTCTAGATATCAACTGTTCTACATACTCTGCTACGGTAACGACTGAGACCCAATCTAAGAGCAACTCGAAGAATTCATTTCTTGCTTTCTTCTTCTTTTATTTTTTTGCGGTACGCGGGCCTCTCACTGTTGTGGCCTCTTCCGTTGCGCAGCACAGGCTCCGGACGCGCAGGCTCAGCGGCCATGGCTCACGGGCCCAGCCGCTCCGCGGCATGTGGGATCTTCCCGGACCGGTGCACGAACCCACGTCCCCTGAATCGGCAGGCGGACTCTCAACCACTGCGCCACCGGGGAAGCCCTCTTCTTTTTTTTTTTAATTTATTTATTTAGTTTTGGCTGCGTCGGGTCTTCGCTGCTGCGCACGGGCTTTCTCTAGCTGCGGCGAGCGGGGGGCTACTCGTCATTGCGGTGCACGGGCTTCTCTTGTTGCGGAGCACGGGCTCTACGTGCGCGGGCTTCAGCAGTTGTGGTCTGCAGGCTCTAGAACACAGGCTCAGTAGCTGTGGCGCACGGGCTTAGTTGCTCCACGGCATGTGGGATCTTCCTGGACCAGAGCTCGAACCCGTGTCCCCTGCATTGGCAGGTGGATTCTCAACCACTGAGCCACCAGGGAAGCCCAAGAATTCATTTCTTAATTCGTAATCATCGTTAAAAGTGATTAAAGTAAAAACAAATTCGACTGGCAGAATGTAAAGTCAATAAATCCGTTCTCCTTTAGAGATTTAGCAAATGTTACCTATTTGTGAGTCCTGTATGCCAGGTGGATAATTTATATTATTCTTACATGTTTATTGGTAATACTACTTTCAGGATTAAAGAAAAAAATTATTTAATCTACCCCAAACCTTACATTCTTTATTCCTACATTTCTCCCTCCTATCCTACTCCTAGTGACTACCAGGAAGAGTGAGTGATGGTTCCTAGGCCGGGAGCCTTGCTTTTGTGTAAGGTGAGATGCAATTTGGGGACGGAGGTGGTGTTAAGGCAGAGGCAAGGAAAGGGCTAAGCGGGGGAATGTGCCGGGGCTAAGGCCCCACAGATGGACACTCAGCCACTCTGTCTGCAGTCGGACAAGCTCCCCTCACGCCCCTCCCTCAGAGCACATGCAACTAAAGCTCAATTTCCTGCAACCACAGACCCACCCTTGCTGCCCCCTTTCACACAAAGCACACACCCTTAGAGGTCAAACACATTAGCTGACCGTGAGGGGCCGGATTCTGGCAGTGAAACTGCCCAGATCTCTTGCCTCTGCCGCCCTGCTACCAGATTTGCTCCGGAATCTTCAACACCCCCTGCACCTGGCTCTCAGCTCTACTAAGGAGATATCGGGGACCCATCGACTCTGTGGGCACCAAAGTTTCCCAAGGCCGTTGGGGTCACCGACCGCCTGTCCCTCCGTCTCTGTGGGTAATGGTATCTGCCACCTGAGTGTCGCCTGTTCAGAGACCCATCCTCACCCCCATCACTCTCGATCACGTTGCCTGACATGTTTTGCTCGGGGCCCATCACTACCAACCCTCTGACGGTCCTCTGGTTCCTCGTCAACCGTGTGCCCCCATCCAGAGCAGAGCCCCCAGGGCAGTGGGCCCAGCTGTATGTACCTTGTTTACTGCTGTGTTCTCAGCTTCTAACCCAGGGCCGGCCGGCCCGGGAGGCACCCAGTAAGCACTTGCTGAACGAAAGGGAGGAGTGCCCTTCAACAGTGCAGGAGGGGACGGCGCTCCCCGCGACCCAGAGGCGAGGAAGCCAGGCCAGCCACAGCTGCGTGTCTGGGCGCTGCTCCACCCCAGAAGCCGCTGAACCTGTCTGTGCTTCAGCTGTGCCCTCACGTGCCCAATGAGAGCACGGACACCTGGTGGGGCCGTCGTGAGGATTACAGAGATGCACGTGAAGTTGTGGTGCAGCCCTGCACAGGACAGGTGACAAACAGGTGGGAGGCTCCTTGGTTCCCTCCTTCTGAGGCCTCTGGAAGGAGCCTTCCTGGTGGGACTGTAAGCGCTTCCCAGATGGCCTCTTCTTATAAAACTCTCAGCAGGGATACCAACTCTGAACTGGCTTCAAGGAGTAAGAATAAAATGGCTCATGTGTCAGAGGCTAACACACAAAAGTGACGTGTGAAAAACCAAGTTGCATGCACTTGCATTAATTCACACAATCACAAGAGAAAGCCTGCAGTTTTTTTCTTTCAGTGCTGTGTGAATTCTACAAAAAAACTTTGGGGATTATCCAAGCCCCCCGGGCATTACTCATGACGACACGTGGGTGTGGCTATGGGTACCGTGACGTCACGTGAACTTTTGCTGCTGTGTTCTCCTGGAGTTGGTTCTTACGCAGAAGAGCCAACACTATTGAAGGTACGTGGCCTACAATGGTTTTACCGTAACCTTCTATACAGGGCTTTCCAAGTGGGGACACTCGGCATATTTCTCTAAGAATGCTTGATACTGATTTGGTTCTATCCTCCCTTTTTCTTTCCTGGTTTTTAGGATTATGGGACAGTATGACACTGAGATGAAAGGTACTTTTACATACTCAAGGGCCCCTGAAAAACTGGAGTCCACCCTGAAACTGCCTGGCCCCCAAAATAATGACATAAAAGAAGGAAAATATAAAGGAAGAGGAAACAGGTTCAAAGATCTCGTCACAAATAAAGGAAAGCAGCTCTGCATTCTCCACTTGACCAGGACGACAGCTAACAGAGCGCTCACCCTAACACCAGACACCGTCATAGACAACTACACATATCGTCATTTAATCCTCAGGGGCATCGTACATGGTGGTACTGTTATCATCATCCCCGTTCCCCAGGCAGGAAGCTGGGGGACCCAGAGGCACCCTGAGTTTCTCACGGTCCCCAGCCACTCAGCGCTCCAGCAGAGCTCCTGGGCCGCCGTGCTCTGGGCTTCGTTCTTTACTGTCTCCCAATACGTTTCTGGGGACTTTTATTTGTGAGACAAGATACCTGATGCTTCGAAACCTCGGAGTGTTCCCCTAAGGATGTTCTGGGACTTCACCCCCAACATGGGCATCCCTGGAAGAATTAACTGGGCCTGTGCACTTGGGAGACAATTCTAGGACCAAGAGTCAAATATTTCAAAGTAAACATTTTGAAAAATGGACAGAGACTTCTGAAACCTTGGATAACACTGTAATTTGAAAGGTTTGGTATCACAATACGTGGTAAAATAAAAATGAGGGGAAGACACGTTAAAAGGGCAGAAACCGACAGCTCAGAAATTAGGAGAGAAAGGTACAAAGTTCTCGTTTTAAAACAAAGTAAAAGAGGCCTAGTGAAGTCACTACTGAAACCAGTGACACACACGCCTGTCATATGCTCCGTCACACAAAGAGCCTGAAGCCTCCGGAGTCACCGTGAAGGGGTCAGTTTCGAGCTGGAGCGGGACAGAGCAGTGGATGCTCGGCTGTAAACAAAAGCAAGTGCACCGGAGCCCGCAGGACCACAAAGCTCTCAGGAGCCAACCACTCCCCACGGGGAAGAGGGGGGCCAGGTGATCCCCTCTCCACCTCCTCCACCTGCCCTTCGGGGCCTGACACCAAGTGCTTCTGACGACAGCCTCTGGCCGGCGCCCTGCTGCCCTCGGGAGGCCTGATGAGGTACCACCCCCAGGGCCACACATGCGCACAGTCACGGGATTGCTCGGCAGTTCAGTGGGACCAAGCAACAGCACAGCGTCTCACCACACTTGCACACATGACCGTGCCGTGAGCCCTGGAGGTGGCGACCGGCTTGTGGGGGCCAGGGGCAGGAGGGCTTTCAGGAAGCCAGGAAGGGCCCCGCTGTGCTCTGTGACCTGCACCGGGGTCGGCAAGCTTTTTCTGCAAAAGGTCTGACAGTACTTATCTTAGACTTCACTGCTCACAAAGTCTCCACTGCAACCACTTTACTCTGCTGTTGAGATTGCCGGG